CATCAGGCTGTTTAACTCCTCTCTGGAGGGGAGAGGGAGGGGAAACAGGAGGACATGTCTCTGTATTTATATATGTGTATATATGGTATTCTACATTCTGTAACTTCTGTTGGTGCTGCGCTATCCCACCCGAGGGATTAATAAAGTTCTATCTTATCTTATCTCGCTTGTTGTTCTTCCTTCAGCCCAAACATCAAAGAATTGGGATATTTAACAAGGTGTAGCAGGCCCCCTATTTTAAAGCTAAAAACACGTGTTTTATAAGATTGGCCTGTAAAAGAACAGAAATTATCCATATTTTCATTACAGATAACTCGGTTCAAACTTTAATGTTGTTTGAAAACATCTCACAGCTGTATTTCAACATGTTTTTTGACAGCATTTCCTTTATAACCTTTTAGCCTTTATACCAGGATTAAATATGCTGGGATCAGTGCAGACAGTGCAACAGATCACATACAGACTGATCTCAATCTCCACACACAGAGTTAGAAAAAGTTCACAGTGTGACATTGATGAGTGTTTCTAACTCAAACTGTGAACTTCTGCCGATTAAAACACTTTAATGTAGTATTTAGTGACTGTAATAATAAAAACAGGTGCAGCAGGAAGAAAACGCGATGTAAAACAAAGCGGTAACTGACTTGAGAATCCAAACATGGCTCTCAGTGGTGCGTTACTATTTGTGAATCCAGCTGAATTTAAAGCAAGTTCAGTCTCACCTGTAGAGGCAAACAGGAGGCAGAGAGTGAAATCCAGCAAACAGACACATGTCTCAGCAGGCATTTCATCCACTTCTGCTCACCAAAACTGAATAAAACTATTCTGAATTTCCAAATGATGAACAGAATAATCTCTGTGTTAAAGTTCTTCATTATGAAATCTGGGACTAATCAAAAAACACACCAAGGGTTGATGGTGCACCAAAACATAAATACAGATAAGTGTGGGAGCAGACTAACTTGTTTTTTTAATAATTATTTGTGGTGTCTGTTTCCACATGTGCCCCGACTGCAGTGAGAAGTATTTGTTACTTCTGCCGCGGGGGTTGTGTTTTTAGTAGCGTTTGACACATGTGCATTTAAACATGCTACTCCCTTGAAATTAAAGATAACACACAGATAAGGAAGACAGGAAAAACTGTTTGTTACTCTACCTTTATTTCCAAACTTTATAGTTAACACACACAGACGCTGTTCATTTCTGCTGTTTCCTAAGCACAGAATGTTTTTCATACCTTTTCTGCAAGAGTATGTGGGTTGTGTTAGTAATGAGGGTGTTTACAGAGTTAGACTGACTCTAATGAGAAGGATCTTAAATAAATTAGAATGGGATTTTCTATAAGTCCCAAATGTTGACATTTTGCAGTGTTTTCATGAGAAACAGGGAACATGAGAGCTCGTTGTAGCTGTTGCAGGCCTTCAGATGGGCCTGTTTTATACAGAAAAACACGAGCAGGAGACATAAGTTGTGTTCAGTCTGCAAACTCTTCCTCATCTATTTATTAAACAGAATTTCACCATCTTTTTCTGTCCATGTACACATTGTCATGTTGTCGTCACATAAAACACAACATTAACTCAAATTTACACAATAATGACCTTTTATTGGTCCCTTTTACATACAGTGTAACTTACAACTAAATCCTCCTGCTCTGCAGCTTCAATAATATATCTGAGCAGATTCACTAACACTGATTAACCTGCTTATTATTCACTTTGTAAACTCTCTTTATCTCTGAACACATACAACAATACACAACGTCTGACAGTGACAAACAAACATATTCCACCATCTCCCAAAATAAATATATACCAGGCTGTATGTACAGTATAGAAACAAAACGAGTGAGAACTAGATCATGTAGAAATCCTGTTTTAACATGATGTATGTTATCATACATTTATAGGTGTCACACACTGCTTCCCAAAAAATTAAATCATCAAATTAATAAATGAAAATATAATGATAGAAATAATTCTGGAAATAAAAAATAACTTTTGGTGAAAGTGGACTGTAGCAGTCATTTGGGACTAGCTGCTCTATGAAGACTTGATTTCATCCAGCTTTGATTTAAATGATTGCTTATTAACCCTTTAAAACCGGTCAGAGCGGGCACGCTCTGTTTTGCGTAACTATTTTTAAATCCCGGTAGC